AACGGAGGAGCAGATGAGCTTGCCCCAAACCACGCTCAGATACCTTCTGCTGACTGGGACATGTGTGCGATGGCTACGGGGAGACCCAACGGGCAAAGGGCTTCAGACTAGGAATGTCGTTCTGTGATGCTGGGTCGTGTCGAGCCTGAATGACAGATTTAGGATTTTCTCAGCAGACATATAAATCAGGGTGGCAGACTTGTATGTGTGTAATAACTGGCTCTTTTAAGCCAGACAATTATTTAATGTGTGTGCCCAGCTATTCTCCACTAAAGGGCAACTTGGGAAAAAACGGTAGAAAATTTTCAAGGTCAGATCACCCCCTGAGCCCCAGTCAGTCCCGTAAATGGTCACTAGGCTATTTTCTTTTTTTTCTTTTTTTCTAGTATTCTTATCATGTTACAAATTTCCATGTTAATTCACATTATTATTATTGTTATTTTTTGTAATCGCTCCATCCATTTTCTAACCACTTACCCTGGTCATGGTTGTGTGGGGACCTGGAGCCTAGCATAAGGTCGGGGTGCATTGGCTAAGATGTCAGTCTATCATAGGGCATATACTGTATATATGCACGCAGTCACACGCATTGTTGGTTGGATCCTTAGAGGTATGATGCAACATTACAGACTATAGTGCTGTATTTTTAACTTCTCATTTCTGTTGCAGCTGCAACATAAACTGTTCCAAATTCCAGCCGCACTGCACAGACGTCACACTGCAATCTGTTGCACTTTTATGCTGGTGTCATTACTTATTATTTATGATAAATAAATATTCATAATCACTTGAAATACAGGCTAGTATATTGATGATAATTCATGCAAATGCAATACTTTTAAAAATCTTTTTACTAGCCATTAGCTTTGAGAGTAAAGGTACCATACAGACTCAGAAGCTTATGTTACGAGCTGCTGATGGTACTGGGCTTAATTCTCCAGCTACAAACCTGAATTGCAGCCGCTGAAGGTAAAAGACTGACACGCGTAAGACAAGAGTGCAGTGCAGGGCCCTGTTTGTTTTACGGCCCCGGCGGTCAATTTAATGGAGGGTAGTTTTTGTGACACCGAAGTAATCTGGTGGTAGCCTCTGTCTCATTTCTGCCGACAACAGCAGCTACAGCGTCATTTTAACAAGAGTTTTTTTGGAGCAAAGATAAGCGAGCAGAGTGATTTTAAACATCTGGAGGAGCACACTTCAGTCCTATTAATAGCTCGGCTTTGAAACACACTAGGTGTTGGATGACAGCATAGATGGTAGGGCTACGATCTTCTGAATCTTGGGAAAAGGCTTGAGGTGGCCTTATTTAAATTCAAATTCCATTTTGTGCCTGGAAGTCCAGGAAGGAAACAATTACAGTATTAGTTGGTGGGATGGATGAAGAGAAAAGGATGCTGTGATTGTGTAAACATCCACACACATATACACTGGGATCTTACAAGAGCTAGTTGCGATCGTCTCACATGAAAATTACATTTTCATGTATGCAAACTGTGTTTTATTGGATTACATAATATATCCCTTTGTAAAGGTATTTTAAATACACTCCTCTAGGACAGTGCTGCGTGTGAATGGCCAGGAAATTAATCCACTTATTTTTGCTTGGCAGTGAATGAACGGTCCGCACCTGCAGGACCTCCGGCTCACTGTTGCACATCCTTTACAGCACCCCCCCCTCCCCAACCCCGCTCTTATGTCCCATAAGCTGCATTGGCATGTGGTATGTTGAAATGCTGTTGCCTTCAGCCCAGTTCAGCCTGCTCTTGCAGAGTACTTCAGAATGCTAAGTGCCTCTTTCAGTATTCTTCACTTCTGCAGAACGTTTGCGGCTAGATTTGTGCAGAACTCTTCTGTGTGATATTTATAAAACCTAATATTTGTGGCAACGCTGCATAATACGTCAATACCCATGAGTGCCCTTGAGCAAAAGACTCATGGTTATTCTGCATTAAATGCTAGAAATGTCCTTGTAGGCTGTGTGATGAAGTACCAAAGTACAAAAAATGGCATTAACCTTTATTCCACAAAGTATCTTTAAAAGCATTATTTGTGACACAAAGCTGGCACTCCTGCTGTCTGATATTCAATGAGGGCCCCAAGCCAACTCAAACTCAGAAAACCAAGATTAGCAGCCTGTGTCTGGTCACTCACAGGGATGGACAATCCTAGGCGCCAGGCAGGACGCCATTGGTCCCTCCCTGGTCACCTGACCATACCATTGTGCCACATAATGACCATTCTGAAAACGTAAGATGTTGTTCCAGTGGGCCTCCTGGTAAAGATGTCCATATTGCACAAGACAGTATGTCAGTTTAATATATGTACTTATTAACATCATTGTATAGTCAACAACAGTAGCGTGTCTCTTTGTTCTCATTGGGTATATAATCTAACCAATAGCACTGAACCCTAGTGCCCTGTCACCGCCTCCTTACCACTTTCTCACATTTACTTCAGAGACAGGGTCCCAAGACACGTGGAATCTATTAACAGAGCCCGCAAATATGTGATATTTTTCATTTTCTTTTTTCATACGTGAACCTTGGTGTGTCATTGGAGTTTGTTCAGTAATGTGTGGTTGTTGTGGTGGTGTTTTTTTAATTCCAGTACATCTCTATTATATTTCTATTTTATTTCAGTAATTCTGCTTAGTAATTGTTACTTCTTGTTTGCATTCCGTTTTGCGTTCTGAATGACTCTGTTCCTCAAGGTCTGAAATAAGGTGCCTGCTGACCTGGTCGTAACGTACCTATAGTTGTCTGCCCAAGACATACAAGTCTGATCACCTTCTCTTACAGTAAATGCACAAGACAGATTTCAGTGCAATGTCTATGTAGTGCGGCTGGGTTTCTGAAAAGAACAGTTTATGTTGCAGCTGTAACAGAATTGAAGAGAAGTTAAAAGTGCAGTGTTATCATATTGAAGAGAGTTTGGTTTAATTGCCGTAATAGTTCCTCAGTTCACAGTTTGCAATCTCAGACACTTAAGCTCCCATTTCATATATTAACTTACCCATTTTAATATCTCATATTACTTTCGGAGATATTTAAGCGCACGTTTACAGGTATGGCTGTGTACCTTTAGGTAAAATGCAGGAGAGAGGGTCCACTGTTTCAGGGTTGAAATGTTTCAGAAAAAATGTTGCACAGCTTCACAGACATTTTGGTTTATAAGAATTGATCAAAACAAGTGAATGGAAAAAAAAACATCTTGAATCGGTAGAGAAACAGATGGCTGCTCTGACTTTAAAAGGTCTTTTGAAAAGGCTGCTTCAGAATGATTTCCGAGGAACTTCCGCAAACGCAGAACAAAGCCCACAGATATTTAAGCAATATCCATAGCAATTTACTGTTTTATTTACAAACTGAAACACATGTCCTCAGACCTCCTCCTTCTTTTCCGCCTTCTGCTCCACATTTTTGTTACTTTCTTTTCTTTCATAACATCAGACGGAGAAGATCCAATTAACCGTTAAGCTGCCATTCATGCTCTGTAGGTCTGTGCTGTGTACTACCAGACAGGGAATGCTGGTTTTGACGTGAAGGCCTTGCAGAAATGCAAGATTCTGAATGTCGTGTCTATTGGATTCGCTCTCAGTTGAATCGCAAAGCAGATCAGCAAGAAACATTCATTCTAGGTTTGGGATGTAGCCTTCATCGCTGCAGCTGGCTTTGCTACCCGGCTCTCCTGCTAGAGGGCAAAAATCTCAAGCCAATGTTGGTGCTTCAGTATTAGGGTGTTTCAATCTTTTTCTAGAGGATCACAGTTCTGGATGGTGGGAATGTCTGGCTCCATCTCACCAGACTGATTTTACTTTCTTAGTTGTTGGAAATACATTCAAACTAGATGAACAAAAGTTCATTAACGTCACTGAGAAAAATATTTGCACAGACAATCTAACAGTCTCAGGTGCAGGAGAGAGTGTGATAATGGAGGCACATAACTAAATAAGGTAGTACTTAGTAGGCTGTGTTAACCCACGCCAATCGTGTCATGACAGAGAACATGAAAATATCTCAGTTAGCCTGAAAATGACTAAGAAAATGCATTTTTTATTTAAATTAATTTCACATTGATTTCAATTGTCAATTAATATTGTTTTCAGTACATATGACAAATTACCACAGTCTTCTCATGTGGTGGTACATATGCCACAGTTTGAGGACCACAGGCTTAGGCTGATCTTGTTCAGGCTGGTCATGGTGGCCATGATTTAGGTTCTTGGTGTTTGTACAGTCGAGGTTCCTGTTCACTTATTCATGGTCAAAGTACGAAAGTAAATCTCCACCAGGTTTTTATAGACCACAGCGGGATTATGGGCCATAGTGGACCATAACGGAACCAAGTGGACCTCTTTGCCTAGTTAGACGGACAGCTTGTGTGTGTGTGTGTGTGTGTGTGTGTGGGAG